GGAACCATCTAGACTGGTGATAGCCTATAGAAATATAATACAACTCACATAAATATTTTTTTAATTTTCCCATAGCTATATATAAAAAGCAAAAAATGAAATTCATTCAATAATATATTTTATTTAATTCAGTATACCCCCAATTTTTTTCTTTCAACAAATGATCAATATAAAAAATTACTGAGTTGGGGTGGTACTAAATCTCTGGAATCCACTGTGTAGTTAACACATTCAGCCTATCCTGATTTAGCTTAGTCCATCTGCAGCATTCAGCAGCTTCTTGTGGCAGTTGCAATTTTTGACAGTGCAGACTCAGAGTCTTCCTCATTCCTGTGTCTGGCACCTAGGCTGGGATAATGTGGAGACTGTGCTCATTTGGAAATATCAACCAGAACACATGCATGTGGCTTGGGCTCCCTCATATCTGAGTAGCCTCAAGCTTCTCAGCCTCTTCCTATGTTAGACCAGTGCTCCAGAACCAAGATGTCAGCGGTCAGGATGGAAGCACCAGGACTTCTCCTGAACTAGCCTCAGAGTTCATGTGATTGTAGCTTCACAGGGAGAGGACATAAACTCCACTGCTTAGTGGCAAGATTGTCAAAGAATTTGGGGCTTATCTTCAAATGTTACAGGCACAGAAACTCAGAGATAAATGCTTTCCCTGTACTTCTCAGACAAAGTATTCTGAGATGTATTTCATAAGTCTCTTAAAAAAAAAATCCAAGCAGAGTCAAGCACCAGTCCCTCTTGTGGGTCCTGTCTCCCACTCATGCTCCCAGGAGCATGTCCCAGATAAACTAACTGCACCTAAGAGTTTCCATGTATTTAAGTTCAGGAGAACTAAGGCTAAATTAAGGACTATGTGCTATACACTAGGGGAATAGCAGGGCACAATGTTCTCATGCAGTATATGTTCTGGAGGGAGAGATAAATATTAAAAGGTTTAGGGATGACATATCTAGTATGTCAGATAATGTTAAATTCATACAAGAAGATACAATATTTCTTCAGATTTGAGTGGAGGTGCTCATATGTTAGAGTGCTGACCGTTGAGAGCAAAGCAATCAGACAGAGGAAATGAAAAGCCACAGGCTGGAGGCAACTTTCATAACTGAAGCACAATGAATGAGGGACAAGTTGTAAAATGTAAAAACAGAGCAAATATGGACCAGATATCCAAAGGCTTCTAGCTTGTTGTAAGGACTGGGCTTTGTACTGAGTGGGATTAAATTCATTGCAGGGTTTTGCACAGGATTGATGGATCTAACTTAAAGAGGATGGCTGTGACTGCAGTGTTCAGAATAAAGAGAGCAAGTGGAGAAGCACGGAAACACGTTGAGAGGCTTTTGCAATAGACCTGGTGGCAGACAAGGGTGGGGTAGGCCAGCTGGAAAGAGGTGAGGTGGCGAGGAGCATGGTGTCTGTATTCCTAGTTCTTGACACAGAGTACCAGGAATGCTTGAAATTTCCCAAGTGATGAGGCAGAAAAGGTGAAAGAAATGTTGTCATTCATAATAACAGACTTGGATTTATGTTAATGAGGTGATTTTGAAAAGCCCCTAAGGGTGAAGGTTGGTTACAAAAGAATCAACCTTTAGGAGGTTGGAATTTTCAGATTTCCCCCCCAATTTCCCTGGAGAGCAGAGGGCCTGGTGATTGACTTGATCACCAAAGGTCAAGATTTAATCAGTCATGATTGCTATAAAGCCTCTAAAAACTTCCAAAAGGATGAGGTTTAGAGCACTTCTGCATTGGAAAACAAGTGGAAGCATCAGGTGAGTGGCACAACTGCAGAGGACAAAGAAGCTCCATGCCCCTTCCCCACACCTTGTCCTTTGTGGTGGGAAAATGATGACAAAAGCAATATTGAAAGAGCTTTTCAAAATGGAGTCACAAGACCATTAAGGCTAGGGAGATAGTTCTGTGGTCTAAGTGCCTGCCTGGCAAGAACAAGGACCTGGGTTCGATTCCCAGGTGCGCCATGCTGGCCCAAAACTGGGTGTGGTGGTGCATGCCCGTAATCCCAGCAGTGGGAAGGCTAAAATGGGAAGATCACTATGAGTTTAAACAGCATAGTGAACCCCTTATCAAAAAAAAAAAAGAAAAAATTTTTAAAAAGAGGACCACCAAGGAAAAAAGAGCTATGTACAACTCCTTGCTGCCTAAAATGTGAGCATGGGTTACCTTCTAATTGAAGGTAGCTGTAACAAATAATAACATTATGCCTAGATGCTTTTGCTTTATAATTTTTTTTTTTTTTTGTATTTAGGACAGGGTGTACAGGGTCTCACTGCATAGATCAGACTCATAGTGATCCTGTTTACAGCCTCCCAAGTGCTGGGATTACAGGGGAGTGCCACCATGCACAGTCTCAATCAATGGGGGTGGGGTCAGGACCCCAGGCCTGGGGGGTCAAACTCCAGCCTCTGCATCTGCCTAAGCAAGCAAGTGCTTTAATCTGCTGAGCTTAAAAGGCCAGCCCTTTTATTAAACTTTTTAAACGAAGTATATACCTTATTTTCTTTGTCATCTATTGGTCACATAGCTCCTATCACATAGTAACTTATTCTCAATTTTCACAGAAGTTTCCCCACGAAGGAAGTTTTCCTGCCTTGGAATTAGTTGACAATGCTTACTCAATATAACTTCTCACTCCCTTGCCTTTTTCAGAACACCAAGTTAGAGCTATCTGAGTATGTGTTTCAGATTGCAATTCCTAAAGTTACTGGACTACAACCTTGGATGGCGTAAAGAAGCTCTCACCCTCAAAGCTCCATTCTGGAGGACGCTTGGCCCAGCAAATTTGTGCTAATCAGCTTTCCATCACTGTGACTGAAGGCCTGAGCACAATCAACTTAAAGAAAAAAGATTTGGCTTCATGTTTTCAGAAGTTGTAGTCCATGGTCCACTGCTTTATTATTTCTGGGAGTGTGATAAGGCAGAAGATCATGCCAGAAGGGCATGGCCAATGAGGCTGGGGACAAGATGGACCCCTAGTGACACATGTCCTCCTCCAGTAAGACCTCCACCTCCTAAAGTTTCCACCACTTCTCAATGGCACCAGTAGCTGGGAATGAAGCCTGCAAAGCGTGAGCTTCTGGGAGATAAAGATCCAAATCAGAATGGGGCTTTTATAGGGAGGGAGAAGAGGAACAGGGCAGGATGTCTAGATACTAAATGGGATCGCCATCATCTAGGCTAGTGTTTTCTTTTGACTTCTGCACTAGAACACTGAAATGCAATCCAATATCCTGGAGCTAGTCCCTAGAGTTCCTCTAGACAGACAACTTTTTTGCAAGTTAAGCCTCCCAGTTTACATTTTGTGTCAGTTGACACAGAACATTAGAAGAGTAAGAAGAGGTGTGACACACTCTGATGTTATCTGAAGGTCACCGGATGTTCCCAGGTTCTCTAAATCTAAAGAAAGGTTATTTAGCCATAAACAGCTTAACCATTTGCACAGCATTTCTCTTTATAATTTAGAAGGCTGGACCAAAAGGAAGGGGTGATTCTGGTGCAAAGATTGGGGGGAGCAACCTTTCAGAGGGTCACAGGGAGGGGAAGCAAAAGTCACTCAAGGACAAATCACAAAGAAACTAAGGCTCCAAACAAAGTCTTTTTAACTTTTATAGTGTGTAGTTTGGACTTATCAGTCACATCTCTTCATCTGGTTCTTTCTGAGTGCTGGGCTTTCTAATAAACTGGTAGGAAAATTAGTAAAATATTTTCATGAATTCTATGAGCTGTTCTAGCAAGATATCACATCTGAAATCAGGGTCATGGAATCCCGAGATCTATAGCCAGTTCAGGCAGAAGTCATGGGAAACATGAGAACCCACAATTGAGGACTGGAGCCTAAAATGGAGAAAGACTCAGAGACTGAAGGGCTGTGGGGTCCCTGCCAACCGCACAAAGATGGTGTCAGAAGGGAAATATTGAGAGTGACAAAATAGAGGAGAAACCAAGATTTCTCTTTCAAGGAATAAGCTTAACTGCCTCTGTGACAGGGTAATAATATCATTAAGCTTCTATTCTGGATGTTTAATAACTAAAGCTTGCAGACCAAAAGTTAGAGAGATAGATGAGCTAAAAGGATAGCCAATATTTTGACCCTAGCCCTCCAAGGTCAGTGAGGACTCAGGACAGAAGAGAACCTCTGCTGTGACATCTTATAAATAAGTGGTGTCCCAAATTTTCTGATCAAGACCCCATAATTATGGGGCCACAGAGGAAAGTGATCGATGATGTATAGTGTGCCTAAGGAGAGTCACCTAGAGAAAAAAAATTCTCTCGGGCTCTCACAGAGAGCAAATTGGTCAAGCAATGGCCATGATTCATCCACATGGCTGACACTGACAAAAGATCCACAAGGTGCTGTACATCATTCCAGGGTAAATCCTGAGGGGATTTGACTGACCTTGTCAGATAGCAAAGGTTACATTTATAGTTATATAGGTCTTGCTTTAACTTGGTCTTAACCATCCAGCAGCAAAGTGTAACCACGAGGTATAAAAAAAAAAGCTATATAAATATGCTGAGCTGTAAAAGGCTCAAGTCAGCAACTTCTGACAATTGCCAGCTGTGCTAATAACTCACTACTATTGTGGACTATTGGACTACATTGGGTTATTTGCTGAATTCAAGTACCTACAGTCTTTGGACTGGCATCAAACTGAAAAGGGCTTTTGAAGACTTCTCCAATCACAGATTTACTAACTGGAATGGAACACCCATCTCTGATGAAACAAAACAAAAAAAGGTGGTTATGCTAGGAGCCAGGTAAGCTAGAAAACAGATCAAATGTTTATAGGCAGCACTAGACCCCAGTGCCTAAAGCAAACAAGCTACCTCAGTCCTAAGATAAACATCCTGTCAGTTAAAGTCAGCTATTAGTCACTAGGAAACCTTGCGTCACATGTTACTAACTTTGCAAAAGTATAAATAAAATACCGTTTTATTGTGGAAAAAAGAAAAGAGTCAGTGTATGTTTTTGAAGGTAGAGCCAAAAGTACTTGCTAATGAATTAGATGGAGTGTGTGAGAAAGGAGGGATTCAAGCCTATCCAGACACAGAGGAGAATCGCATAACCCGGCTTACAAGTTACAGCTCTCGCTAAGGAGCCTGCATTCACAGGCTATTAAGAACTGGAAGGTCAGTCTGTTCTGGGGGTTCAGAACACCCCAATTTAGAGGACCAATGAATCCAATGTTACAAAGGATCCATCCTAAAATATTTACTCTCTTTTCCAGTAGCCATATGGACTGTTAGGGAACTCCATCAGGACGGTCCAAGTCACCTCTGCACTCACTTCCTATTGCAGGCTTGGCCCTCTGCTTCCTGTTCTGTGCTCAGCCTTTGTTCCCTCTTTTAGAAATCGTGGGCTGACTAGGATGTAGCAGCAAAGAACAGCATTTTGACCTCTGCTCTGACTTCCTGATCTTCACCTCGAAAGGCAGACTAAGAAGGCAGGGAGCCCAAGAGCCCTCAGGCCAACTCTGCCTGCTCACCATGAGGATCATGATGTCCACGGCTGCCCTTGCCATCCTCATCATAGCAGCTGCCCTTGAAGCCCAGGATGACGACGTATATGGTGAGTCAAATGAGGTTCTTACTGGAGGCCAGGGCCACAGTAAAAGTCTAGGGAGGAGATACAGAGGGGCACCACTGTACCCCACAGCTACTCTTGATCTCATGAAACTTACTTGAAAGCAACAGCAGGGAATAGACATCCTTCCCTCGATAGTCTTTGTTCTCTGGGAAAACTCTATACATAACTTGATCTTACTTGGGGAAATAATAATTCTAGAACACTGGTACACAGTCAATCATAAATCCATCATTTTGGAAAGGAAGTAGTAAGACTGTCCAGGGAAATGACTTGCCCCACATCACCTAACCATTCCTATTTTTTATTTAACAACTGAAAAGTATCTAATATTTCCTGTACATAGGGCAGGCACTGCTGCAGATGTTTTAGAGATGTCAACATATTTATGCCTCCTAACAACCCTGTACAGCAGATAGGTTAAAGAACTTGAATTAGCCCTATTTAAAGGGGAAAAACAGTGGGACATCAGTAATCTTATTGTTTTGAGAACTATTTTAGTTTTATAAATGAAGAAAAAAGAGGCCTACAAATATGAGATAACTTATTTATGATCACACAACTACTAAGCAGTAGAATTAGGATAGGAGATACTATGGAAGCAGTAATGCAAAGACTAAAGCATTTGAGGGTTTTTTAAAAATTTTTTATGCAAGCCACCCCAGGTCATATCAAGCATTGTACAACACATGTTAATACCTCAATAAATCAAATTCACGTGGGCATACAGCATCCCTGGCTGTCCTTGGAGAATGATCTCTGGCCCCCAAACAGATAACAAAAGATATAGGTGCTCAGATCTTTTTATGGTGTACACCACTTCCTGTACTTAAACTCTTGATTACATGTAATACATGAAACAAGATAATTCTAGTAAATAGTTGTTAGGCTGTAATGTTACAAAAGGTAGCAAAGCTGATCTTTTGTGATGCGTTCCTATAATCCCAGAACTTCAGGACACTTAGGCAGGAGAATCACAACTTTGAATCCAGCCCAGTCACCTTAGCAAAATGCTGCCTCAAAACTAAAATACACAGAACAGACTGGGAATATAGCTCAGGGTAAAGGCCCTGGTTTCAATCCCTGAAATCCATGAAAAAAAAAATAATGAAAAGTATTAAAAGAAGTCTTTACCTGTTCAGTCCTGATACACTTTTTAAATAATATTTTGAAGTCGCATCTGGCTCACTGCACAGACGTGGAGCTTCCAGATCTGAAGAGCTCTCTGTATAGAGAAAATGAGCTGCAAATGATGGAAAGCAATTGCTGGGCAAAGTTGGTAGCTGAATTCTTATTGCCAAGTTTATTCATTATGTTTTATATGAAATGTAAATAATAATTTAAAAGCTACATTTATTCTTTTTCTGCTACTTTATTCTGTGATACAGTCAATTATGGAAATTAAATTTAAGTTAGAAAATTGGCAAGAAGGAAGGGAGGTAGGAAGGATTAAAGAAGGAAGGAAGGGAAGAAAAATGGAAGGGAGGGTTAGAAGAAGTTTAACTGTATTTGCCTAATTATAGCAATGTAGCTCTACAATTTATGCAAAATCTTTGGGGTTACTTGAATTTTGGATTTCAAAGTTTTGAGGCTTTTTAAAAGTTAGTTATTATAATGTCCAGTAATTCCACCTCTGGGTATATACCCAACAGAATTGAAAACAGACAGATGGAAAGATTTTAATATACCCATGTATTGACAATAAGCAAAAGGTAGAAGCATTGTACATGTCTATCAGTGGGAAAATAGGGAACTAAAATGTAGTAGGCAGTGGCTCACATCTACAATCCCAGCACTCCGGAGGCTGAGGCAGGAGGATCATTGTGAGTTCCAAATCAGCCTGGGCTACAACGTGAGCTCCAGGCCAGGTTGCACTGTGTAGTGAGAACCTGTCTCAAAAGGACTTAAAAAAATTAATTAATTAAAATAAAAAAGCTCTTTCCATTTTGTAAGATGGCAGGCAAAAAAACTGAGAAGCTAGCCACTAAAGAGAGGGGCCGGGGAGATGGTTCAGTGGAATAAGTGCTTCCCTGGCAAGCGCAAGGGCCTGAGTTCAATCCCCGGTTCCGAAAAATAAATAAATAAATAAATTTAAAAAAGAGAAGAAACCCAAAGCCAAGAAGGCTGCTTCCAGTGGTGCTGGTAAAAAGGCTTAGGTGAAGGCAAAAAAAGTCTAGGAAGGGGTAGCGCCACTGCAGCCGAAATCCTGTCCTGGTCAGAGAAATTGGTAGATACTCCCAACCTGCTATGTATTCTGGAAAGGCTTTATACAAGAGGAAGTACACAGCTGCTAAATCAAAGGTTCAGAAGAAAAAGGAGAAAGTTCTCGCTACTATCACAAAACCAGTTGGTGGGAACAAAAATGGAGGTACCTGGGTGCTTAAGCTTTGAAAAATGTCTAGATACTGCCCTACTGAAAGATGTACCCTGAAAGCTCTTGAGCTATGGTAAGAAACCCTTCAGGCAGCATGTGAGGAAACTTGAGCTAGCATCACTCCCGGCGCCATCTTGATCATCCTCACCAGGCATCACAGAGGCAAGAGAGTGGTCTTCCTGACGCAGTTGGCCAGTGGCTTGCTACTTGTGACTGGGCCTCTTAGCATTTATCATGTTCCTCTGCGAAGAACACACCAGAAATTTGCCCTTACCACTTCTACAAAACTTGGTATCCGCAAAGTAAAAATTCCCAAACACCCCACTGATGCTTACTTTAAAAAGAAGCAGCTGTGGAAACCCAGACACCAGGAGGGCGAGATCTTTGACACAAAGAGATACCAGATTTCAGAGCAGCTCAAGGTGGATCAGAAAGTAATGGACTCAGAGATTTTAGCAAAAATCAAAGCTGTTCCTCAGCTCCACGGCTACCTGTGATCCATTTTTGCTCTGACAAATGGAATTTATACTCATATATTAGTGTTGTAAATTTCTTACTAAGAACCTAATTAAATAACTGATACATTTTTTAAAAATAAAATGTAGGAGGAAAACATACAATGAAGTATTATGGAGCCTTGGAATGGAAGGAAATTCTGACATGCTACAATGGGAACATGAAAGATATGATGCTAAGTGAAATAATCCAGATAGGTAAAAGACAAGCATTGTATGATCCCATGCATATTAGTCACTTAGAGTACTGGAATTCCTCCAGATAGAAAATAAACAGGTGGTTTCCAAAGACTGGGGGTCAGAATTCAGTACATACAAAACTGAGATTTGCAAATTGAAAAAAAAAAGTATGACTGGATACCAATGTTAGTTGCACAAAGCTTGAATATATTTAGATACTATGAAATTAAGTACTTACAATTGGTTTACATGATAAATTCCAAGTTGTATGTGTATTGCTATAATATTTAGAAGCCTGGATGTTACTTATCCTTGGTAGGTCTTGGAAGCCGATTTTAATGAACTATAGAAATATTTCCACAACAAACATACAAATATTTGTACTAAGTAAAAAAAAAAAAAAATTGTAAGTAGCCTCGCTTCACTTTATGGACACTGTATCACCCAAGAAAGTAATGAACAACTTGCTGTTTCCAGAGGCCTAGGGAGTCCAGAAGTGCATAGGAAGAGTTGTACGCTGTATCACATGATGCAGATATTTAACTCACCTTTGTTAGGTTGCAGTTTGCTTTCAGTATTTCACGGTCAGTTAAAAATATGCACGTCTCAAAGATTTTTTTTTTTTTTTGTATTTTAGGGAAGGGTTTACAGGGTGTTCAGGGTCTCACTACTAGATTGGATTCATAGTGATCCTCCTGTTTACAGCCTCCCAAGAGCTGGAATTACAGGCAGGTGCCACCACACCCAGTCTCAATTGCTGTCTCAGCACACCTTGGGAGCAGGACTGGCATGGCAGGCCTGGGGATCAAACCCCTGGTCCCTGTGCCTGCTTGCAGGTGCTTTAATCCACTGAGCTATTTGGCCTACCCTCAAAGATTTTTAAAAGATCCCTGGGGGGTTCCAGGGCATTCATTTAGCAAACAGATGCAGAGGCTGCCTAGGGCCAGAGCGGTAACACTGAGCCAGCATCAGTCTCTTTCCTTGGGCTGAGGGTGAGAAACATGGTGCGTGGAGATGCTGGGGACATGTGGCCTCCTCGTCATTGTTCTTCTCATGCTGTTGCATCTTTTAGATTCAGAGATCAGCGGATACCTGGAATCAGAGCATCAATTCAGACCTTCACAACTTAATCTTGATGTACCCCTGAGATCAAAGGAGCGATTCAGACCTTCACGATTTCATTATGGTAAATGACCAGACATGCTAGATACTTAAATGCATTAAGTGGTACAGATCTGCCCCAGGATTCATCTCCCCTCCCAATAGGGGGAGAACAAAAGCATCCTAAGGGTACTTCCAATCCATAGGAAAGATAAGGAGAAGAGATCAGTACCTGCTCCAAAGATACCTTTTCTCTACCCACCTGGCTGACCTGAGAGTCAGCCCCCTGGAGCAGGGTGTGCTCTCCGATGCCTGCACCTGTCTGCAGATGTCTTCCCTTCTCAAGGGGGGCCTCTGGCACTGCTGGGGCTCAGCCCAGGGGCCTCATACATGCTGCTCCACCTGGCAAGGCTCTGAGGCAGGGACATAGCAGCAAATGCTGGCCAAGGGGGAGCAAGCACCCCTTCTGAGTCCTGGGCTGTCTCCATAGTACCCCTCACAATACCCAGCACTGGACTTGAGGGAACAGCCTTGGACTTTCAAATGGCCCTTTCTTTACCTATAGGCTTTCACCATCCTGCTGACTGCTGCTTCTCCTACACTGCACAAAAGATCCGGTGTAAAAACATGAGATACTCTTATGAGACAAGCAGTGCGTGTTTCCTGCCAGCAGTCATGTAAGTACCAAACTCACCCATAGTGGGTTGTGGAGAGCCTGCAGGCTCTTAAATGGGAGACACTGAAGGACGGGTGGCCCCAAAAGTTCCACCCTTCCATCCTGCCAGGGAAGGGGGCAGCTGATGTCCTTATTAGAGGCCTGCAGGGCACCAGAGATGACACATTTCTAGTAAAGAAAAGGAAAGGGAGGCAAGGAAGGAGAAACCAGGCAGCAAGCTGCCCAAGGACATGCCCATGGGTCACTAGGGAGTGCCCTGGGCTGAGAAAGGGTCTCCGGGAGGAGCCTGGCCCTGAGCTGCCTTCTGCGGAGAATGGAAAGAACAAGCTGCATTGAGTGAGGAAGCTGAGGGACTGGGAGGATGGGGCTCTTTGTTGCCATTGCTGAGGACTCTTCACTTTATAACTACTCTCCTCCTTGTCTTCCAGCTTTGTCACCAAGAAGGGGCAACGTGTATGTGCTGACCCCAGAGATCTGACAGTTCAGATTTGCAAGTTTAACCTGACCCAGATCTCAGTTCCCAAAAACCTGGAAAGACTAAAACGCACCTTGGAATTGGGACAAAAATTACCAGCCACCTGACCTTCAGCTTTCTTGTCCCAGCTATCTTGTAGAAGTTTCCTGTGTTGAACTTTAAAAAAAAAAAAAAAAACTTATTGTTTTGTAAATGGATTAATAAACAGTATCTGCATGGACATTCCTGGAGGCTTCTTGATTTGTAACTGCATGGATGTGCCCAGAATCACCTAATTGTTTTTTTCTTCATACTTTTCCAGCAAACGATAAATGAATAAATGGAGGTCCTGAAGCACAATTAGTTAGCACGCCCTATTCATATAAATGCATAAATTTATATATTCATTTTTACTCTCATGACAGTGATATGTGGTGCTTTATAACAAGGCCCTGTCTCCAGAAATATCCCAATTCACTAATGTTAGCTTAAGACAAATGAGAGATATGACAGATAGAATGAATTCTCCTCTATCCTAACCCATATAAATGTCCCCACTTTCAGACTCAAATTTTGGGGAACAAACCGGCCTTTCTACAACCTGGAACTAAGCTTCCAATCCCCCAATAAGCTCCACTCTCTGAAATATCAGGCCTGTCTGCCTCTGCTTCTCCTGTTTTACAGCATTTGGGGGGGCAAGTCCTCATACATTAGGTCAGGGCTGTTTGGGAGCAATATCTAATTTACATTACTTGAGGTTTAAGAGGACAAAGAAATGAGGGAATTATTCAACTTAGGATAAGTGCTGTCATTGAAACAAGAGCATCACAGCACAAAGGGGGACAGACAGACAGACAGACAGACAGACAGACAGACAGAAGAGACATAGAGAGAGAGGCAGAGAGACAGAGACAGAGAGAGACACTGGTCTTTATCCATGGCCTCTGGACTGAAGTACATTCACAGGTCTTTTTATTTTGTATTTTAAGATATCTCTTCCTAAGTCACTAGATTGCTCAAGCTATGCTCAAACTTGAAATCCTCCTAGATCAGGGTCCCAAGATACTGATATTATAAGTATTACCACCATGCCCAGCTGCAATATCTTCAAATAGCTAAAAATGACTCATTCAAATATCATTGAACCCATTACTGAGGGAACCATTCAATTTATTCGAAGATCACTGGAGAAACAGAGATTTATATAGTTAATTGCAGATGATATTCTGAAACAAAAATGCTAAATTAAAGTACAAAATCAATATGATTTTTACAGGATGATAATAAAGCAAAGTTGGGGATTTTCTTCTGGCGGATCAAAATCATTTGCATTTGTGCTTCACAAAGTTATATATAATTTCAATAACTCTAGGTAGACCAACAATCAATAGTAAGTAGACCAACAATGAAAAGCACATTCCCCTATACATTTGGGGAATCCTGAGCTCAGAACATTCTGCTATGACATAGAAAGGCAAGCAGTCATCCTGTGCCTACTTCTTTTTTTAACCAGAATTGATTGGTACAATTTAGACATACATAATGATGACATTCATCATTGAGAATTTGTACCTGTCCATGATACAACATTTTTTTTCATAGATCTGTCTCCCTTCAACAATCCTTCAACCTCCCTCCCTTCCTCATTTACAAAAGCTTTGTTTCCATTCTTCCCATCTTCTCATTTATTTTTACTTTTCTCTTTTCTAACCCTCTTTATTCTCCTGCCCTTTTGAATATTTTCTTCCTAATTCACAATATAAATAACAATATTTTCGTATTTACACTTCCAATTTCTCACACCAGAGAAATAATTCAGTATATGCACATGGGCCTGATCTATTTCATGCAAGAATATGATCTCAAACTGCATCCATTTTCCTATAAATGCCTCATGTGTATCCTTCTTATGGTAGACTAGTACTCCATTCTATTAAAGAACAACAACTTCTTTATCCACTCACCAGGTGATGGGCATTTGGGTTGTTTCCAGAATTTAAGTATTACAAGTTGTGCCACTAGAAACATGGGCATGGATATATCACTATATCATGAAGCTTTTAATTCTATGGTAAAATATAATTTATTTTTTGCCATAATTTTATTGATAAACAAATAGCAATGAGACAGTTTCAAATCAAATCGGTAAGACACTTGCAATACTTAACACACTGCATACATTCTTCTTAGTGGTTAATTGCTGTACAAGAAGCGGACTTGATATCCTATTTACAAACACCATTAGAACAAATCATTCTATTCATGAAGAGACTGTAACTATATATCTATCCTAACCACTGTGAATACACAGATACAAAATGGACATTCATCCATATACCCTTTTTTTGTTAAGTTCCGTTATTTGAATATTCTAGCTGTGTAAACTCAGCAAAATATTCTAAAAGAGTCCAGTAGCCCATAATAGTATTGGGCCTTCCGCTGAACTGGCAATGTCAGAAATTGTTGACCTGAGTTCCCCACAGCTCAACATAACAGCATGACTTAACTTCTTATATTTCGTTTTTATACTTTTCTACTGGATGGTTAAGACCAAGGTAAAGCAGGACCTATGCAACAAGACTTGTAGATTTTTGGTCTGATAAGGTCAGTGAAATCCCCTCAGGATTTATCCTGAGATCCTGTACCTCAGACTTGTAGAACCTCTGTCAGTGTCAGCTATGTGGATGAGTCACGGCCA